CCAGCCTAGGCAGACAAATCCAAGAAACTCATCTCCAATTAACCATCAAGAAGTTGGAAGTAGAGTCATGGCTCTAGTGGTAGGGTGCCAACCTTGAACAAAAGCCAAGCAAAAGTGTAGTGCTCTGACTTCAAGCTCCAAATACCAGTGTGCGCACACACACAAAGTTGTTAATTTAAAGAAAATGTATAGTGAATAAAAATTCACATTTTGGTTGTAATTGGCAAAAATTGTGAGTGTGCTTTGGAAAGTTCTTTTTTTAAAAAAAATGTGTGTGGTACTGAGGAATCTAATCCAGAGCTTCATGCATGCTAGCCAAGCACTCTACCACTAAGCCACCTTCCTAGCCCAGGAAAGGACTTCTCAAAGAAAGATTTGGTAGAGGGCCTGAGCCACAGAAATGCTGAATGACCACAGCATACTAGCCCCTAAAACAGAGGCTTGGGTGGGGTAGTGTAATTACCATGATACCATATTTGCACTGTGGTGGGGAGAAAATACAAAGGGAATTCCCAGGAACATCCTAATGAAAGTCAGAACTCTAATAAACAAAAGGGGATGATGAGGATAATAAAAGCAGTGTATGAGACAACCCCTCCCCTCCCCATTCAGATATGTTGTTCTTGCTAATCCCTTGAGGATGCTCTATCAGTCAGAGCTTCCTAGGGAAACAATTTCCATACACATTGCATTTGCTTAACTGATATTAATGCTGTTCTTTAGGGCTGAGCTCTACCATTAAGGTCCCTGGACTGCTAATGCTGAGCCATGAACTCTTCCTGTCCTTGGTGCATACTTACGTAGCAGTATGCTGGTGTAAGCCATCGCCTTGTCTACAAAACCTTTGAAGTTTTTTATTTTTTATTTTTATTTATTTATTTATTTATTTTGCCAGTTTGGGGGCTGAACTCTGGGCCTGGGCACTGTCCCTCAGCTCTTCAGCTCAAGTCTAGTGCCCTACTACTTGAGCCACAGCACCACTTCTGGCTTTTTTCTGCTTATGTGGTGCTGAGGAATAGAACCCAGGGCCTCATGCATGCAAGGCAAGCACTCTACCACTGAGCCAACTTCCCAGCCCAAAACCTTTGAAGTTTTTTAAAGAACGAACTTGAAAACAGTATCTCATTCTTCTAAGCACCCAAATCAGTTTCTGATCTTAGTAAACCTTAGTACTGAGTGACTGCTAAAGTGTAAGTATCTTGAGCATAAGGGGTCTGGTCTTGTTCATCCTCTCATCTGCTTTGCTGGCTTGGTGCCTTTTTTGGGGGGGCGGGGAGGGAGTGATAAATTTGATTAGGCATGAAGTTGATGGGATAGCACCATTTATAGCCCTTGCTCCTTTTGTATCCTTAAAGTTCTCTTGCTCATCTGTTTTGTAGCGACCCCTCTGTGTTGCCATGGGAATTCAAGGCCTGGCCAAACTAATTGCCGATGTGGCCCCCAGTGCCATCCGGGAGAATGACATCAAGAGCTACTTTGGCCGCAAAGTGGCCATTGATGCCTCCATGAGCATTTATCAGTTCCTGATCGCTGTTCGTCAGGGTGGAGATGTACTCCAGAATGAGGAGGGGGAGACCACGAGCCACCTGATGGGCATGTTCTACCGTACCATCCGCATGATGGAGAACGGCATCAAGCCGGTGTACGTCTTTGACGGCAAACCACCGCAGCTCAAGTCAGGCGAGCTGGCCAAACGCGGTGAGCGGCGAGCCGAGGCAGAGAGGCAGCTGCAGGAGGCTCAGGCGGCCGGGGCCGAGGAAGAGGTAGAGAAATTCACCAAACGGCTAGTGAAGGTCACTAAGCAGCACAACGACGAGTGCAAGCATCTGCTGAGCCTCATGGGAATCCCATATCTGGATGCCCCCAGCGAGGCAGAGGCCAGCTGTGCTGCCCTGGTGAAAGCCGGCAAGGTCTACGCTGCGGCCACTGAAGACATGGACTGCCTCACGTTCGGCAGCCCTGTGCTGATGCGACACCTGACAGCCAGCGAGGCCAAGAAGCTGCCCATCCAGGAATTCCACCTGAACCGGATTCTGCAGGAGCTGGGTCTGAACCAGGAGCAGTTTGTGGATCTGTGCATCCTGCTGGGCAGCGACTACTGTGAGAGCATCCGGGGCATCGGGCCCAAGCGGGCCGTAGACCTCATCCAGAAGCACAAGAGCATCGAGGAGATCGTGCGGCGGCTTGACCCCAACAAATACCCTGTGCCGGAAAACTGGCTCCACAAGGAGGCCCAACAGCTCTTCCTGGAGCCTGAGGTCCTGGATGCAGAGTCCGTGGAGCTGAAGTGGAGTGAGCCAAATGAAGAAGAGCTGGTCAAGTTCATGTGTGGTGAAAAGCAGTTCTCTGAGGATCGAATCCGCAGTGGGGTCAAGCGGCTGAGCAAGAGCCGCCAAGGTAGCACCCAGGGCCGCCTGGACGATTTCTTCAAGGTCACCGGCTCGCTCTCCTCAGCTAAGCGTAAGCAGCCAGAACCCAAGGGGGCTGCGAAGAAGAAGGCCAAGACTGGGGCAGCGGGGAAGTTCAAAAGGGGAAAATAAATATATCCCCCACATCGTCCCTGTTTAACCCCAGAATGTCTGCCTTAGACCCTCCCAAGAGCTAGAGCTAGCACCATCCATGGGGCGGGGAGGGGATCCCATTGCTTTGCCAGTGCTACCCTTCTCAAATGCATTTTTCCCCCCTTTTCACTTGATTTTATGGCAGGAAGGCCACAGAGTGCTTTTTATTTTTATTTTCTTGGTTTAGCTCAGGAAAGTGTGTTAGGCTCAAGCCACTTCTCAGGTAGCTTAATGGACACTGGACCCGTTGTTACGTGAAAAGTTTTAAGAAAAAAGAGCTAAATGGTAGGCATGAGTATATGGAGAGGCCTTCCTGGTTGGCCAGCTGTGGCTGATGGGAAGGGATGGCAGAACGTGCCTGCTTCTTCCTCATCTACAACCTGCCTTCAAAGAGCCCTCAAGAAGGTCCTAGTCTAGCCGATCGCAGAAAACAAGAGGCAAGCAGAGCACAGTAGTCTGTCACGGGTAATAAAGGTTGGCTTACAGTGGCTGAGTTGAGCAGAAACTTGAACTTGCTATTCAGAGGAGTAAATGTTCTGTGGCCTCTTTGAGGCATCTACTGAGTTGAAACCTCGGGATAAGACGTTGGTTTGCATGTGCTGTTTTTGTTTTGAAGATATGAAGAGGAAAAAAATAAAATTGCATTAGTTGTCAGATGTCCTATTCTTTGAGGACTTTTACATTCTAAAATAAGATCGGTTGGGATTCATAGGCAGTTTGAGATGACCACGAGGTGGCGCTGTGCCCCACACAATTGCTGTGGCAGTTGTGCGTCCTTTAGAGGATGCCTAGTTTATTTTGCTGAGAGGAATATGAATAAGTTGATCTCTAATGTCCCACCTACTTTGTGAGGTAAAGAAGCTCCTTTGGGAAAGCTTTGTAATTTACATCAACCAGCTCCTAACAGCATTTATTTTGCCAGTTTCTAAGTTAGACTCCCATTCAGAAACCAGTCTGTGATATGTGAATTCAGGTCAGTTTCCTAGAAATGAATGTTTTGAAAATTTTAGTCCTCAGAGTTTGGTGGGGAGCTAGCTTCTAGTTGTTTTTGTTTTTGAGCATTAGTATCATTGCTGTTTGAAGGGAATTAACGGTCCAAAATGTGTGTCGACATCCAATGCACAAAAAACTAACACCATTGGTTCCTGATCTTGGTGGTGGTTTTTATCAATTGTAGGCTTGAACTTGGGGCCTTGGCACTCTCTCTGTGCTCTTTTGCTTAAGGCTAGCACATTTACTTTGAGCCACAGTGCCACTTCAGTTTTCTGGTGGTTAATTGGAGCTAAGAGTCTCACAGACTTTACTGCTTAGACTGGCTTTGAACCATGATCCTCAGATCTCAGCCCTCTGAATAGCTAGGATTACAGGTGTGAGCCACCAGCACCTGGCTTGGTTTCTAACCTTTTAGTGAAGGAAACAATTGTCCAAGTGAAACCTTAGGTAAAACCTCAGGATGAACTTTAGCTAATGCAGGATAGTTTCTCAGCAATGGCCCTGTAACAAGATTGAAGTCCTCCAAGAGATGCATTCTACCCAGGGAAGGAACTTGGGTCACTTGTACTTCAGAATTTTTTTTCTGCCAGTCCTGTGGCTTGAACTCAGGGCCTGGACACTGTCTGCACTTCTTTTGCTCAAGGCTAGCACTCTACCACTTGAGCCACAGCACTACTTCTGGCTTTTTTCTGTGTATGTGGTATTTAGGAATTGAACTCAGGGGTTCGTGCATGCTAGGCAAGTACTCTGCCACTAAGCCACAGTCCCAGCTCTGTACTTAGAATTTTTAATTAATTTTTGGTGAGAGTACTGGAGCTTGAACTCCAGACCTGGATTCTTGTAGGTTTTTCATTCAAGGCCAGTGCTATACCACTTGAGCCACTGCCTCCTTTCCTATTTTTTAAATAGTGGTTAACTGGAGATTAGCCTCATGGACTTTCCTGCCCCAGCTGGCTTCGAACCATGATCCCTAGATCTCAGCCTCCTGAGCAGCGAGGTGTGGAGCCACTGATAGCCAGCTTAAGCTCCATTTTCTGACTCAGGTTATTTGGGTGTAAACCTGTAGTAAGGTTCCTAGAAAGGTTCCATTGTTTTGCTCAAAGCTATTTTAGTAGGCGCTGCTGTGGAGTCACTGTGTTTGCAAAGATTAAGGCAAGTAGGACGTAGGGAAACCAACCACACAAACTGGAAACGTTGACAGGGTAAGGATGTGGAGGAGGCAGTGATGCCCATGAAAGCTGGCAAGGGGGGCTAAGCAGTCCAGTTCCTACAGGTATTAGGAGGACATGTCTTTGCTTCTGACTTGCGTGTTGGCATGGAGAGTCCTGGTCCTCGCTCTACCCATAATAAGGCTTCCATAAGGGGCTTTGGGGTGATGATGGTTGTTTGGAAAGAAACACACAGGTGAACACAAGAAATCTAGGGAACATGTCAACAAGCAGCATGGATTTTTAAACAAATAGTTTTTATTTGGCCAAAATTAACTAATTGTTTTTAGCTTCATCAGGATAAGTGGTAACACACATAGAAGACACTGACATTGGACCCAATTTAAAGAAAACACCTCAAGATAGCAAAAAGGGTAAAGTCATTAAAAACAGTTTCAGAAATCAGAGTTCTAAAACTGAGGTGAGTGCAATGTCCCGTCACCATCTATGACCCAGGGTCAGCTTTTTCTCTTGAATCCTATTCTCTGCAGTCCATCTGAGATTACCCACTTCACCATTCTTAGTCTTTCGTTATTCCGTGGCCCTTGTGGCCATCCGAGGCCACACAGGTGAAGGCCGGGAAGGCCACAGTGGTTTAGGTGCTTTGAAGACCTGGTCTTGGCACAGTAGAGCAGGTGCACTAGTGTTTGCTCTGACTGGTGGCTTGTGCCAGAGCTAGCTGGCATGACAGGCTGGTGGCCCCACACTGACACCCCAGGTGGCAGGGAACAGGAATGTGGAGGGATGAGCACCTGTTCTGGAGGGAAATATCCAACGAAAGCGGAATTGTTCAGTTTTGCTTCTAATTTTTCTACCCAGCCCATTGCAAACCAATTGCAGGGCCAACTTTCAGCAAAGACGAACTCTTCTGCTACCCGCTGTCCCATGCCCGGTTCTGTCAGATGTCTAACTCTGGCAGCCTCGTGCCCAATGCTGACTCTGTCACTTCCATCCCGACTGCCCGCCGTTACCTACAAAACTCAAGATGGCTCTGCTTTTGCCTTCTAGCCTGTTCTTTTCTACTTTTCTCATAGTTAACAAGCTTAGATTGTTTGAACAGGCAAAGAAATATCTTCACCTGGACTGTAAGGCTGTGGAATTTGGGGTGCAGGAGGGATTGCTGATACTGGGCCCCTGGGAGTTAGGTCAGACTCAAGGCACATTCCTATGTGTGCTCTTTGGGGAGAGACGTTCCTTATCTTTTTGGACTGGAAGATTAGGCAGACTATTTTAGTGTTAGACAGATACGCTTTGGAAAAGGCTATCCTAAATTCCTATCTGGTCTCCAGAATAAGATACTGAGCGAGAGTGGACAGAGACCTCTGACTACAGCAGCGACAGTCACAAACCAGTGTTTAAACTTACTACAACTAGGAAGTCGTTTGCTTAACCCAACACTCCTAGTAACGCTATAATTTAGGAGATAAAAACTGTTTCTGCTTACCGCCCTTACACTTTGACTTTATGACAATAAGTCATAAACTTTTCTCACTTGTGCTTATTGCTATTAAACTTGGAATTACAGATTGGGCAGCAAATGGAAACAAGGGAGAGCCCCATTTGTTTCTCGGGAGGAAGAATACTCTTCCCCTCTCCTTGCTAGGAGCATTCTCCCAGTCTTGACAGATGTCTGTTCTAAGCAGAGGTTAGAAGTGGATCAAGGGGATTTTTCATTCCCAGTGACTCTACCATCTGCTTGGCAAAAGAGCATGCCTGCCATTCCCTCTGGAACCGGATGCAACACGAGAGCAAAACCAGTAGTGCCAGGATCATCAGCTGAATGACTCCCAAACCACACTCCTGGTCTTTGCCCCACCTGCTTCTAAGGCTGGAAAATGGCTTCTGGCAACCACAGCCAGATGTGGGTGACACCTGCCCAGGGTAGTGACTGAGTTCCCAGACAGGGAAGTTGGGTCAAGACTCAAAATTCTACACATGAATGCTTCAAAGCCTTTCTAGATCTTGCTATAAACATTCAGCTACTCAGTCTGAGGTTAGCAAGTGAGGGGGGAGGGAGGAGAGGGAGACATGTCCCCCTTTACATGAGTTCTGGGGTACATCTGCCTGACACTGGGCTCAGGAGTTACCATCATCTGAACCCCCGCCCCTTTTACCCTTTGCTCACGAACTGCATATTACCAAAGTGGAGAAAAACAATCCTGGGCTTTGCTCAGGTGGTAGAGTGCCTGCCTTGCAAGCACGAGACCCTGAGTTACAACCCCAATACCATCACCAAAAGAAGAAAAGAAACAATTCAACAGACTTACACTCCTCCGGGGAGTTGTTACAAGTGTCCCCACACCCCGCTAGTCATAGATCTGTGCCTCGCAGGCAAAGGGGTGAGGTCTGAGCACAGACCTTTCTGTCCCCGAACCCACCACCCCCCTCTGAACATAAGAACCAGTGGCTGAGTCCCTCGAGTCTCCCTCTGCTTTGGCTTCAGTCTCTTCCACACCAAGGGGTCTGTTACTGGTGAAGGTAGGCGTCCAGCCAGAGCTGCCCCGACTCCTTCAATGAGCTGCAGGCACACAGGGGTGGACAGTGAGTCAGCAGGTGGAACAGAGCCCACCAGCAGTGGAGAAGCCCTGTGACGTGAGCCATGCCACTAGACAGCCCCAGACAGCAGGTCCTGACTGCCTTTGTCACCTTCCTGTCACCTCCCCCCACAGGCAACATCTCCTCCCCCACCCCTGGCTCCAGCCAGTACTCACTGCACGATGTCGGCGAAGGCTGAGAGCAGAGGCTTGGACTGGTACTCGATGCCATACTTGGCACACAGGGACTGCACCAGGGGTGCCACTTTGTGGTAATTGTGTCGGGGCATCGTGGGGAAGAGGCTTCAGGAGGGCGGGAGAGGAAAGTTAGTGGCTGGTGTCCCTCCTCCCTCTCCCCCCCCCCAGGACCGTGCTTCCCCTCCCCACTCACTGGTGCTCAATCTGGAAGTTGAGATGCCCGCTGAACCAGTCGTTGAAGGCGGACTGGTGGACGTTGCATGTGGCCTGGAGCTGGAGGAGGTTGGGGGGAGCATGATGTGTGAGAGGGAAAGAAGGGCTCCTTTCCACCCGGCAGCAGGACAGATGCCTCAAGCACAGAGGACTTTTTTTTTCTTGCTATTAGTGCCCATGACCCACAGGTTATTTTGCTGTTGTTTTATCACCCGTGGGGCTGAAACTCTGGGCGTGGGCGCTGTCCCTCAGCTCTTCAGCTCAAGGAGAGCACTCAACCACAAGAGCCACAGCGCCTCTTCTGGTTTTCTAGTGGTTTATTGGAGATAAAGAGTCTCACAGACTTTCCTGCCCAGGCTGGCTTTGAACCACGATCCTCAGATCCCAGCTTCTTGAGTAGCTAGGATTACAGGTGTGAGCCACAGGTGTCTGGCCCATGTTTTTATTAGTTCTGTTCTACCCAGGTGTTCTGAGTAACTGTCCCTTACCTGTGTGGAGACCCAGTCCTTGTTCCGGTCGTGATCAATGTGCATGGGAATGTGGTTCATCTGTGTCACCCACACGAACCAATTGCTCTCCAGGAACCTGGCATGTAGACACCAACAGTACAAGCAGAGCCCAAGGTTCCTACCCCTCCTCGGGTAGCTGACCCGGCCCTGTCTGCCTGTGCGAGCCAACTCCACAATCACCTCTGGCTAGGCCCAGCACCAGTACCTGTGCCTTCCCGTGCCAGCCCCTCCTGCCTTTCATGCGCTACCTGACAATGAAGAATAGGCCCAGGAAGCCTTTCAGCCCCAACAGCGGCATATACGTGAGGAAGACTCGGACATAGAAGGTGACCATCCAGGCTAAGTCCTGCGGTGAGAATATCAGAATGATTCTTCCCACCTCCCACCCCCCAGCCATCCCCCAGCCCCGGGCCAGCACCCTGCCCCATTACATCTAGTGCCACTGTACCTTTCTTCTGGTTGCACTGCAGCCCCTTGCCCACCACCTTCTCTAGGGCACATAGGGACTCCCTGCCTCCAGCCCCTAACCTGTCTAACTGTTCACAGAAGGAGCATCCAGGACAAGGTACCATTTAAGCCAATCTGGCAAAGCCCCAACTCCTGTTCTGCACCATCAACCAAGTGCCAGTCTTCCCCCTGACCCATTATACCCAGCAGGCCAGTGGCTCAGCTCCTCCCTCCCCTCCCAGCTTCTCTGCTTGGAGAGTTGGACTATCTCTAGCTCATCCTCCCCATCACTCCCTGAGGGCTCCAATATTCTGCCCAGCCCAGGAACATCGGGGGACAATGACTGCAGCGTTGGGAGTCAGGTGATCTGCCGAGCCCAGGTCACATGGTCCTGCCTACAGAGGAGTACCTCACACCTACTTCTCCGGTCTTGCTCTCAACTGGACCTGGAGATGGGCGGTGCCACCTGCAGAGACCCTGGAAAAGATAGAGGGCCATAGGCCCTGGATACTCACCACCCACTTCTTCCTCTGGACAACAAAATAGAAAATATACCACTGGAAGTAGAGAGGCAGCAAGGCTGGAGGCCCGACTGGGGGGGAAAGGAGACAGGGAGGAGCTGTGAGCAGTGGCAGGGTCACACAAGGACTGCCGTGCAAAGATGGTCCTCAGCACGGCTGCCCCGTCGCCCCTCCAGCAGCTCCAAGCCAACAGGCACCGAGGATGGGCACAGATACAAGCTCTCCAGATGGTGTCAGGAGTCAAGTGGGGGAGGAGTTCCCTTTTCCCAGTGGATGCTAGAGTTTGACATTTGGGCTTTACAAGTTTCTGCATTGGAAGCTTGGTCACTGTGGAACTAAAGGTCCACCTTTACAGGTGGACACTAGTGGGAGGGAATTAGATCACTGGGACCAATGAAACTCCTCCCATGTAAGCCCCTAGTTGATTGTCTTGGAGTAGGTTGTTACAAACTCAAGCCGCAGGCTTGGTACATGGTCTGCTCCCACACCTTTGAAAGGACACTGTTAATACCTTCGGCACTGCCTGGGCCACAGCCTTACTCTGAGTCACCTGCCTTTATCCTGACTCCTCCACCAACCTCCATCATGCAGGTTAAGGGGCAGCAAAGTGTGTGTGTGTTTTGGGATGGACCTTGCTGACCCCTCCCAGCCCCAGAGATGCACCTGATGCTATCTTTAACCCTTCATTGCAATGTCCACTCACAGCTCCTATATCTATTTTTTTTTTTTTTTTTTTGGTACTGGTCCTAGGGCTTGAACTCAGGCCCTGGCTGCTGTCCCTGAGCTTTTGTATTCAAGATTCACATTCTACCATGTGAGCCACAGCTCCATTCTAGCTTTCTGGTGGTTAACTGGAGTTAAGAGTGTCACAGAGTTTCCTGCCTAGGCTGGCTTCGAACTGTAATTCTCAGATCTCAGCCTCTTGGATATCTAGGATTTCAGGTATGAGCCATCAGTGCCCAGTGACTCCTGCATCTTGATGTGCTCTGGATTCTAATATTCTTTCTTATAGAAGCCTCTGTTCTACCCTCTTCCCTACCCACCTTTCTTAGTAGGAATCGTTGATGATAAATAGTTTGGATAAATAAATGCCTTCAAACTTATTTATTTATTTTGCCAGCCCTAGGTCTTAGGCTCTGTTCCCTGAGCTTCTTTTGTTCAAAGCTAGTGCTCTACCATTTGAGCCACAGCACCACTTCCAGCTTTTTCTGAGTAGTGTACTGGGGATAAAAGAGTCTCACTGACTCTCCTGCCCAGGCTAGCTTCCAACCATGATCCTCAGATCTCACCTCCTGAGTAGCTAGGGTTACAGGCATGAGCCACTTGAATCCAGCTGCCTTCAAACTTTTACTGGAGTTTTAAAGTCAAATTTCATGGCATTATAGAGCAGACTTTCAAAGCAGGAACTACATGGCAGATTCTCGAAAGAGCTTAAGTGACAGCACAAAAGTCTTTTGCCCCATAGCCACAACAATTAGAACTACACCCTATCCGTTTACCCTGACCTGACCTCTAATCTCTGCTGGACAAGGCTGAGCGCTTTAGCAGAAAGCCAGGTGTTGGCTGTTCACATGGATAATCCTAATGACTAAGGAATATGAGATCTGATCATTGCACTTCAAAGCCAACCCAGGCAGAAAAATCTGACATTCTTGTTTCGAAATAGCCAGCAAAAAGCCAGAAGTAGAGGTGTGGGAAAGCACCAAGTGGCAGAATGCCAGCAGTAAGTGACAAAGCCTAATTGAGAGCCCAAGGCCCTGAGTTCAAACCCCAGTATTGGTGCTTGTATGTGCACGCACACAGAGAGGCACGAAGCTTCAGTAGGAGGTCCCTATAGACTACTCATGGGAGCAAGATTGAGACAAGAAGAACCCATTTGCCCCCAACACAATTGAGTACTAAAACTCTAGCCTGTTGCCTTTGCTCAGTGGAGAAGACATCTGCTCCCAGGTAGTTGAGGAGCCATGTCCTCCATATCCCTTAGCACCAGCTCCCAAAGGCCAACCCCCAGGTGACTGCAGCTACTCACTGAGGAAGAAGTACTTGTGCTGGTGGTTGTAGGGCATGTACTTTTTCTTTTGTTTCCCAAGCTGTGAAGCAGAGCAAACACAAGGTCAGCAGTTATCATTCATGGACCAGTCACTCTCTCCCCTCCCCATAACCTAGGCTTTTCCCTACTCAGAAGCTGAGGCCGATTGGAAGGTATCCACAGACCCAGCCTTAGGGCCATCACCTGGAGCAAGAGGCCTGGGCTGCCCTCAGTGAGGGTCATGTAGAGTACATGCGCAATGCTGTCTACAGGTCTTCTGGACTTGTCACATTTCTCTAAAGACTCTCTGTCCTGAAGTTTCCAGGCCCCCTCTCCCACACTTGCTATCTCCTACACTTGCTATCTCCCATCTTGTAGTTATGGGACATCAGAGTCTGTAGGAAAAGCTGTCTTACCCTTGTGTGGGTATTTGATCTATGCCTTAATCTCCATCAAAATCTTTTGATCTCAAGGTAACCTACATAAAAAAAAAAATCCCTTGAAAGCTAAGCAAAGTATAGCAAATACTTGTGCAAAGGTTACTGAGCATAAGGAGTCATCTGAAGGTTCTGGCAAAGTGTTCCCCAGTGGGTAGTAGTTATTTTGTAAGCTGGGCCACAGAAGGGACAGGCTGAGGCTAGCAGACCAAGGGGTCAGTGCAGAGCCCATTTAGTGGGTTCCCATGTCTGCCTCTCTCCGTGGCTCCTGCATTTCTTGTTCCAAGTAGTTTTGGTGTCCAGGCAGAGTTCTGGCTTGTCCTCTCACATACAGAAAGCATTCTCAGGTCATTCACTAAAAACCTATGCTGTACAGGACACTTGAGCTAGACGGAGCATTCTTTGTAGGTGGTCAGATTCATTCGAACATTGGAGGCCTACTCTGCCAACTACTGTTCACGCTGAGGGTACAGAGGTGAATGGTACCCTGCCTGCCTATACAATGCTTGTAAATTAAGGGATGCAAGTTGCTTAAAAAGACACTTGTAGACAGAGTTCAAAGCAACAGGAAACTGCAGATAGGAAACATGAACAGAGAAGCAGCGATTTGGAAAAGGTCCACAGATCTGACACCCACACTCCGACATGAATGTTATCAAGGGCCAGCAATGTAAATGCTTAGGAAAGAGCATTTAAAAACAGAAGGAACTGACTGGGAAGGTAGTAAGTACAGTGGTAGAGTGCTTGCCTTGCATGCATGAGGCCCTGGGTTCAATTCCTCGGCACCACATAAACAGAAAAAGGCAGAAGGGGCACTGTGGCTCAAGTGGTAGAGCGCTAGCCTTGAGCTGAAGAGTTGAGGGACAGTGCCCAGGCCCAGAGTTCAGGCCCCACGAATAACAAAAAAAGAAAACAAAAACAGAAGGAACAGCAAGAACGAAGGCTCTTGTGTTGTCCAAGACCAGAAAACTCGGGAGGAGCCAGGCCATACAGCACCTCACAGAAGCCTTGGTTGCATGACCTGTTTTATGCTTTAAGAGGGTCATCTGGCCAGATGTGTGGAAATGAATCACAGGGCAGATGTAGTTACAAAGCTCATTCTCACCGAGATACATTAGACTAGAGGCTAGAGTTTAACATGGTTTATGTTCTACAAGTTCGTGTGTTGGAGGCTTGGTCAATGTGAAGCTATTGCAAAGTAATGAGACCTTAGAGGTGGATACTAGTGGGAGGGAATTAGATCTCTGGGGACCAATGAAATTCTTCCCATGTAAGTCCCTAGTTGATTGCCTTGGAATGGGTTGTTACAAGAGCAAGCCTGCCCTGCCTTCCTTATCTCCTCGCGTGACTATTCCTTACAGGTACTTACTCTGCCACTGTCATGGCATCTGCATGACTTATAGAAACCAAATGGCTAGGGCCACCTCTCCTGAACTTTCAGGAGCTGTGAGCTAAATAAACCTCTTTTCTATAGAAAGTACCCAACCCTGGGACATTTTATTGCAGCAATGGAAGATGGGCTAATACACCAGGGGAGAGGAGGTAGTAGAGATGCAGGTTTGATGGAGCTGCATTATATTCTGGAGGTAGGTAGGTAAGAGAAGGGAATGTCATCCCATCCTGAGCAACATAAACTGAGGAGAGACCCCACAGAGAAGTGCCCTCTTGGCATGAGCAGGGAAACGGCTGTGCGAAGGGGCCTCCTCCACCACTGCCTCCTGAGATGGTCAGATGCCCTCACTGGATTTAGATCCCCAGAGGTCAGAAGGGTTCTGTTAAGGGCAGGGCCCCTTCTACCTCCTTGTCATCCAGGAGAGGTAGGAGGTGTTGGGCAGATGCCAAGTTTGTTCCCCAGAGGGACCAGACCAAGCCCAAGCAACTTAGAGCAAAGACATGCTCTAAGAGGTAGGCTAGGAGGAAAAAAAAAGTGAGGAGATACTTTGGCTCCCCAATCATTCGGATTTTTCATGGTTGCAGACAGATGTTCTCTGAAAACCCAGCACCAGCAAGCAGCGCTGGCAGTGGTAGGAGATTCCTTCCACTTGGCCCCTCTCTTTAGGAACCCCAGCTGATGTTGCTTTAAGTAAGTAACCCATGCTTCCCTCAAAGCAGCTCTGGGATCCAGGAAGGGGGGTGAGGGGTGGGGCTGGTAGGTAGCCCATGCAGGGCTGACCCGCACACAGCACAGGACAGGAAACAAACTATAAAGAAGTTAATGCTTAGGAAAGAGAAGGGAAAATGAGATCCCGAGGGACAGGTAAGGCAGAAACCTCAAGCACTGAGTGCCTGGTGCCAGGACAGCCAGTGCTGCCAAAGCCTTTCTCCAGAGTTGTGCCTCAGGCCAGAGGGGAGCGTTGGGTCAGACTACCTTGAACTCATGCCTGAAACCCAAACATATCCCACAACCGATTAATTCCTGGCAAGCTGAAATGTCATTAGGTTGGGGGAAGGGATCTGGCAGAACTCTTGACAGCAGCATGGAACCTGGGGACAAAGGGTTTTTAATTAACTTTCTAAGGAACTCTACTGGCCTTTGGAACTTTTAACTGCTTATGCTCACTGAAAACTCATTAGGTCTCCCAATCATTTTTCCTTCGGTTGCTGCATTCTGGGATTTGAACTCAGGGCCTTGTGCTTGCTAGCAGGCACCGTACCTGCATTCTGATTTTCACTCATAATCTCAGATAATAAGTCATCTGGAAGTCAGGCTGGGCTCAGGAAGGTGGGAAGAAGCAGACTTCTCCCTTGGTACCATGGGATTGGTACCAGGATCCCTTGTAGGTGTTCCAATCTCTTCTACAAAGTGGTATCTTATTTGGAAATAACAGAAGTACAGCCTCCCAGGATACTTTACATTGAGTCCCATGAGGCTGGCGAGATAAGGCCTTGATTGGTTACTTTTTTTGTTTTGTGATGCCAGGGGTTGAACCCAGGACCTCACTCATGCTAGGCAAGCCAGCCCACTCCCAATATACTATAAATCCTCTCTTGATTACTTACAATACCTAACACAATGTAAATGCTATGTAAATAGTTCTGTGTTAACAAATAATGACTAAAACATATCTGCACGTTTGATGAGATCCATGGTTACTTAAATGCACAGATGCTGACCCAAAACATATGGCTAGCCAGCTGTGCTCAGTGAAGGAATGTTTCAGGAACTGGGCATCATGGCAGAGTGAGACAGGTCAGGAAATCTGGTGTAAGAGAAAGAAGCACCAAGCACTGGAGGGCGGGATGGGTGACACCTGCCCTGCAGCAGGGTGTCAAACAGTCCCCTGGGAAGTGTCACACATCACCTTCAAGGATGAGCAGGGGCCTGCCCAGAAGTCTCTTGTTACTCTCTGGATCTTATGCAGCAAGTGGTTAACTATTTGCCAATGGAATTCACAGGGAGGGTTGGGTGATTCTCTCCTGGATGACCCTGGTCACTTCCCAAGGGCAAGGGTCTCAGCCAGCACAGCCCATTGTCACTATACAGGACCAACAATGTTTTCCCCAAAAGCCCTCCATGCTGGCTCTCTTCCTTCCCCAAGATGTTTGCATTGACACCTCCACTCACCTCCACAGACAGGACTTTCCCCAGGGCGAAGAAGAGGGGATGCATGTTGATGTCTGGGTCTTTGCGGAAGCAGTTGGGCTTGGCATGGTGCTGGAAGTGCATGTGGTTCCACCAACTGGCTGGGGCTCCCTACAGATGATGGAAGGAGAGGAGGAAAACCTAGTGTCACCACCTCCCATCCCTAGCCCTTCACTGACTGGAGTTTCAGAGAACTCCTGTCCACACCACTGACCTTCAAGTGGCCAATCACAAAATGATGCAGCAGGTGGTTCCAGGTAGAAGTACCAAACACTGACAGATGCCCAAAGTCATGCTGCAGCCACCCAGCCTGGGCCTAGGAGAGAAAAGTTAACACTGAGAGCAGCTCACCCACCCACAATCCTTTGTGCTGACCTCAGCAGTTCCTTCAGCCTCACCCTCTATCCACGCAGTCTGATGGCCACTCTCCCCTAAGGGAGCACTTCAGGAAGAATGAGAAAACCCAGTCTTAATTCTGCCTCAGTCACCGACTCACATGTGAGTGGAAGCAAATCAGTTTGCCTGCTCTGAAGTGCGATCGACATCCACAATACAGTAAGGACTCAGAAGTAGGGAGAAGGCTTGCAAAATGGGTTCTGACAGCCAAGTATGGGGGCCCAACCATGATTAGCAGGTGGAATAAAGTCAGGGTAGGGAGAGGGCCAAGTACAGGTGCAAAGTCAGGATCTTGGTTCTTGGCATACTTGGGCTGTGGCAGAACCTGAACAAGAAGTTTCAGAAAACAAATTCTATATGAAGAAGGGAAGCACGTGAAGAGCAACTGGAAAGGGAGAGAGAGAAAATGAATATGGCCACGTGGTCTATGAACAGGTAAGAGCCATAGCCAAGGTGGCTTACACTTGTAATTCTAGCAACTGAGAAGATGAGATGAGAAAGATCACAGTTTGAAGGCTCCTTGTGCAAGAAGTACATGAGATCCCATACAACCAATCAAAAGCTAGGCATGATGCTACACTCCTGTCATTTCAGCTACTAACTAGAAGGATAACAGTCTTGGCTAGACTCGGGGGTGGGGGGGGGGGGGGGGAGTGAGACCCTATTAAAAAAACAAAACAAAATGAAACAAAAAATCCACAAAGGCAAAAAGGGCTGGGAGTCTGGTGGCTCAAATGGTAGAGTACCTGCCTGGCAAGCACATGGCTCTGAGTTCAAACCCAAAGACAAGACAATAGAATATGCATTTACTTTCTGCATCAACTCTCCTGAATATCTTCAGATCTTCAGGCAGGATTGTTGGCCTTCTGAAAGCTTTCGCCACAATGCCAAGCACAACTCCTCTGATCAGCCAAAGGCTCTCACCTGAACTGTGCTGAGAAGTACCGCACAGAGGAGGAAGGGCACCAAAGATGTCCCAAAGACCCACAGAGTAAGCCAGGCAGCGACGTCCAGCAGCAAGATATGCAGCAGGTAAAAGAGGAAGAAGAAGTGGTTGGCCTTCATGAGCCCCATTCGCTCTACGGTAGCCCGCAGTTCCCGGAACTCATTAGTCAGTTCTTTCTGTGGAAAAATGGGGACTGTTAATTCTTCCCAGCCATGACCCTATAAACCCACACATGCTGGACACAAGGGCCCTTTCAGGCTCAAGTACCTGTAGAAGCTGTGGGGAGTCTACAGTCTGAGGCAAAAATACCATGACAACAAGGAAGTCTGACAAAGAGGTACTAATCAGAATGGACTCAGGCCCAACGGCTGGGTACACTTGACTCTGGTTCTTGCTTGGCCACTTACTGTGTGAGATCCCCCCCCTGGCTGTGTCACTTAACTTTGAGCCTCCATTTTCTCATATGTAAATGCATGAGAATTGTGTAAGTCCATGCTTGATAAATATTCAACAGGAAGGTCTCCATGATGATGATGATGATGGTGGTAGTACTAGTAGTGGGAGCCTTGAGAGAAGCAGGGGTTTCAAAGCCCTGCTTTGTATGGCCTGTGAGGCAGAGACCAAAAGACTCCTGTGAATGGCTACCTGTGATCCTATCTAGGTTTTTGTCCTTCACCCTCCTCCCCAAGAGCAAACAGGGTCTCACATGCTTGGTGGGCTCAAAGCTGGGCTGCTCCGGAGACAGTTCTCCAATCAGGAGAGAGTTCATATACTTCTTCACAAGGCCCTTGTTGATGTGGAATGCCACAAAGGGATCCTGTAAGTTTGGGGAGAAGGCAACAAGGTGAGGGGGTCAGTCCCAGGCTCCTGGGGTTCACATCAGAGGCCATCCTCTTGCTGGCAAGTTGAAGAAGAGACCACATCCTCCTCCACAGCTCAAGATCTCCCAGTGTTTAGGTTCCCATCACCGGGCTGCTACACAGAGGAATCAGTAGCCTCCCCTGAGGGCTGTCCAGAAAGACCTGTCTGGGCTGATCTTTGGGTCTGAAGGCAGTTTTTACCCAGGGATTTAGCATCCACTAGAAAAGCCAGAACGGGGAACTGTGGATTTCTTTTCCAGCAGGACTTTCAACAAGTTCTTTCCTTTCTTAGCCAGTTTCTCCATAAACGGCCAAGACAGAAGACCCAGATCTTCTGTCTTCCCTCCACAGCTGTTCTGGGCAAGATTTCCTATGTTTCTCCCAGCACCCTGACCACTCCTTGTCCCCATAATAATTAAATTTCGGTTATGTAAGGTGGGGTCCTCCAAGATAAGATTCATGTCTGTGGATGGGGGGACCCCAAGCCCAATAAACCACAGAAGGGGCAGTGGGGGAGGAGCACCCCTCTCCCACAATGACACTGGCCACTTCAAATCACACTTGGGTAGGAAGGCCAACTGCTAAGCTCCCTCTGCACACGCGCCAGCCTAGGTAGGCCAGCAAAGCTATCCAGGTTCCAGAGGTCACTGGAATGACCAGCTTGTAGCCTGGCTCTGAGGCTACTTCAAAGGGAGACGTGGGTTCTCTTCCCCCCCCCCCCCCCCCCCCCCGCCCCAGATTCTAAGTCCAGGGGCAAAGAAAAGGAACAGTACTCTTGTTGCTAAGGGGGAGGGGAGCGGGGGAGACCTCACCCCAAGACACTACAAGTCATAGGATAACAGAGGAATCCAACAAGAAAGGATCCTGAGTAGATAATGAGTGGAAGCAACCGCCCCACCTTTTGGATCCCTAGGGGATCCCAGCGCTCTGGTCTAGGGGACGGCTCTGAGGATGGAAAGACAAAAAGCAGCAGGACCGAGCCTGGGGTACGCATTGCGCCTACTGAAGCGTGGGGGAGGAGGAACCCTCATCTCTTTCGTCACGCCGCGCAGGGGATCCCAGGACAGCCGGCTCCCTGCGGCTCCCTCCCGGCTTCGGCTGGCCGAGTGGGCACACCCGCGCCCCCCCACACCCCCCGCACACGAATCCCACGCGGCTGCGCGCTCCCCTCCCAGCCCTCGAGACCAGCCGAGGTTCCCTCTCCCTCCGCTCCGCTCCGCTCCCAACCCCGTCCTGGGCAGCACCGATCGCCATCCGTCCCTGGCGCCATCCCAGCCTTCTCCCCCTGACGCCTTCCCCTTCCCAACCCAGCTCCGGATCCGGCCCAATCCTGCAGACGGAGGACCGGGACCACAGAGGAAACGCACGGCCGCAGCCAGCCGTTTCTTTGTGCGTGCACGCCGCCGGCCTCCATGCCACCCCACCTCCTCCGAGCCTCTCTCCCCTCCTTCCGAACACCAGATCGGTCCGCGGGGTGGCTTTCCTCCGGAATCGGCGGGGTGTTCCGCCACGGGTTACACTTCCCGTTTCGGACCGGGGCCGCCGGGTCCGGCGTCCCCTCCGGCGCCTTCCCCTGCCCGCAGCCGCTCACCGTGGCATCCTGCCCGGCGTAGTGGCTGATGACGCGGGAGCCGCCCGGGTGCCGGCGGGTGAACTCGCTGATGTTGTACACCTTCCGATCGATCACGAGCCACCGCTCCCGCTCGCGCCCCGAGCGCTGCGCCACCTCCTCCCAAGTGAAGTAACGCGGGCTGGGCCGCTGGGCCTCGCCGCCGGCGGTCACCGGGCCGGGAGTCATGGCTGGCTGGCTGGCCAGGTCTGGAAAGCCAGTCAGTCCGTCCGTCCGTCCGTCAGCCGCGGACGCGTCTGGCGCGCGCTCGGGACGCCAAGGGAGCGCCCGCCGCCCGCCGCCCGCCGCCCGCCGCCCGCCGTCCGCCGCCCGCCGGGAGGAGCAGGAGAAGGCTGGCCCGCTAGCGCGCGCCCGGCCCCCTCCGCCCGCGCCTTTGGGTTTTCAGCACCCGCGGCGCGGACCGCCGAGCGGAGCAGCGCGCACTCCCATTGGCCGAGCCGCGTGGCGTGGGGAGTTGGCCACGCCCACTCGGCCAGCCTGAAAGGGCGGGAGGGCGGGCATCCTTCCACCCACCCACCCTCTACCGCCGCCGCCACCTTCGCCGAGCGCCTCAGCCGACGTGTGGTCCTCGGGAGAGCGCCTCCTAGCGGACGCCACACAGCGATCGCCACCTGATGCCGCTTCCCGACTCCGCGTCCCACTAGCGGGTAGCTAGCAGCTCCGGGATGCCCTTCCTCCCCCCGCCTCCCCTCCTGCCGCCCGTCGCACACGGACGGAATAACGGTTCCTGGGAGCCCTTGGGTGCGCTCCAGCTCGACGACCCAGGCCGAGGCCCAGAGCACCGATGGGCCCAGCTGGGCCTGCAGGAATCCTGGCTTCTGTCCCTGTAGGTATGTTGAGTGGAAAACGCTTGGGACAGAATTAAATTTAGCCGTTTAAGTGAGGGAGGAAACACCACCCCGACCAAGTGGAGATGAGGCGAGGAAAAATTTATACACCTAAAAGGGGTGGGGGGAGAGGAAGGAACATAGGAAAGCCATCTGATTGGTTATGGCCCCCAGTGGGTTGCTGTATTGGGGCATGAGTGAGGAGCTCGCGGCCTGTGATTGGCTGAAAGCTAGGTTGCCTAAGCTAGGCCCTGAATTCCTCCAACAAAATAATTTCTGCTTGCAATTTACCTATTAAGTACATAGGCTTTGTGGGATGGTTAAACCTAATTAACAAGACGCATTACCTCACATAGCTTTATAGCGTTTGTAATGAGAGTACTTAATATCCACTCTACTTATTAGAGGAATGCAGGATATTACAACACACAAGGATATGATGTCGTTGATATAGACATACTGTATAGCTGAACTCTTAAATATATTCCTCTTCTATATCATTTGACAGATAGCTTCACATTAACTCCCTCCCCCCACTTTCCCAGATTCTGGTAACAATTCTACTCTTACTTTTTTTTAAAATTCCACAAATTTATTGAGAGCATGTACCATTTCACTTAAGGTGACGTCCTTCCGTTTTCTCCATGTGGTTGCAAATGACTGGATTCTGTTCGTTTTCTTGTGACTGAAGAGTAGTCTGATGTGTATATATAACACGTTTTCTTTATCCATTTATCCATTGATGGACACTTAAGTGGAACCCATATCTTGGGCTATTGTTAATAATGTTGCAATACAAATAAGAATGCAGGTCTACCCCCTATCCCCCATCACTTAAGATTCTGGCTTTTTGTTGGTTAATGGAGAAGTCTCATAGATTTGTCTGCCTGAGCTGGCTTCAAATCCTACCCTTGTGAATAGCACCTGGGCAGATATCTCTTCAACATACAGATTACTTTCCTTGGAATATATTCTCAATAGTGGGGGCTGGATCATAGAATAACTTTAAAAAAATATTTTGAGGAACCGCCATATAGTCACTGTACTAGTGATTTACAATTCCACCAACAGTCAACAAGAATTCCCTGATGGTGATCATTATTCTCACTAGCGGGAAATGCTATCTCACGTTTTAATTAGCTCTTCCCTGATGATTACTGATGTTGAACATTTGAAGAACATACCCGTCGGCCATTTTTATGTCTTCTTTTAAGAAATTCTGAACAAGTGCGTTCTCTCTCTCTCTCTCTCTCTCTCTCTGCTTTAAGATAGAGTCTTGCTTCATAAGGCTTGCCTCAAACTCACAATTCTCCCACTTCTACTCATAAGTGCTGAAATTACAGATATATGCTACCACACCTGGTTTATTTGACCACTGCTAATTATGTTTCTCATTTTATTGCCCTTGAGCTGAATTCCTAATATATTTTCTTGGATATTAACTCCATAATAGGTTTGTGATTTGCGCGTATTTCTCCCATTCGCTGTTGTTGATTGTTTCCTGGGTGGGCAGAAGGCTTTGGTTTCACGTTTTCGCATTTGTCTATTTTTACTTTGGTTCCTTGTGCTCTTCCCCCACCCCCACCCCCCTCTCGTGTACCTGCCAATCCTGGGGCTCGAACTCAGAGCCCAAACTGTTCCTGAACTTTTTTGTTGTTGTTGTTGGTCACGGGGCTTGAACTCTGGGCCTGGGCATTGTCCCTCAGCTCTTCAGCTCAAGGCAAGTGCTCTACCACTTGAGCCACAGTGCCACTTCTGGTTTTCTGGTAGTTTATTGGAGATAAGAGTTTCACAGCTTTTCTTGCCTGGGCTGGCTTTGAACCATGATCCTCAGATCTCAGCCTCCTGAGTAGCTAGGATTACAGGCATGAGCCGCCAGCTCCTGGCTCTGTTCCTGAACTTTTTGCTCAAGGGTAGCACTCTACCACTTGAGCCACAATTCCACTTCTGGCTATGTTTCTTGTGCTTTTGAGAATACATCCAAAAATTTATCACCCAGTTCAAGGTCATCGGGCCATTCTGCTGTGTTTTCTTCTAGTAGTTTTGTAGGTCAGTAGGTAGACACAGGATGGCTGCATATGAGCATTTCAAATGAAACACATCAGGGAAGACTGTTAAAATAATCTATCAGGAAGACAATACCAAGTGACTAAGGTAGACTCCTTAATAGGTATGCATCACTGTGCCTCTGTTCTTTCCCCATACTTTTTCTCAATCTACTTTAGGACTAAATGATTCACTTCCCCTTAGCCAAAGAGATTTTTCTTCCCAACTTCGAACATGCCTTTACTGTGGAAGCTAAACAAAGTTAATCTTGATTAGTGTAAGGGGTGCCGAAAGGAAATGCTCACACAGTTCAGGCAGAAGAGGGTTTATTCAGTGAGAGTGACCGAACTGCCAACCAGCCCAAGATGGAGGTGTGTGGAGCAAGAGAGCTTACGGTGGGAGGAGAGAGCTTAGATGGGGAGGTTGTGTGACCACAGTGGATAGGAAGATGATCTCAGAGCCTGGAGGACCCCCACTGCCCCCAGACATGCCAGTTGCCTGGGTTACAGGTGCTGGCTGGGGAATTCTAGGGTACATAGGGAGAGAACCAAGGGAAGGGGTTATTTCTCCCTTAGTATTTAGATGGGAGACAGTCTGGAAATACAGGGTGCTATAGACTTTTTAAAAAGATAGGGAGGACTGGGAAGGTAGCTCAGTGGTAGAGTGCTTGCCTTGCATGCATGAGGCCCTGGGTTCGATTCCTCAGCACCACATAAGCAGAAAATCCAGAAGTGGCGCTGTGGCTCAAGTGGTAGAGCACTCACCTTGAGCTGAAGAGCTGATGGTTCAGGCCCCATGACTGACAAAAAAAAATAAATAAATAAAAAAGAGGGAAAACCTGGGCGCCAGTGGTTCATACCTGTAATCCTAGCTGCTCAGGAGGCTGAAATCTGAGGATCATGGTTTGAAGCCAGCCCTGGCAGGAAAGTCTGTGAGACTCTTATCTCCAGTTAACCATTCAAGAACCAGAAGTAGTGCTGTGGCTCAAAGTGATAGAGTCTAGCCTTGAGCAAAAGAGCTTGCATATAGTTTTCCCCTTACTGTTTCTAGGGAATTTAGTTACACATATTAATTAGAATTTTTAAGTCTTAGGGACCTTACTTTCTAGTCATCATTAGGAAGTTAGCTCTGAGGATGAAGTTTGAAGCCAAGCCAAACAGTAAAGTCCACAAGACTCTTATTTCCAATTAAGCACCAAAAAGTTCAGAGTGGAGCTGTGGCCCAAGTGCTAGAGGGACAGTGCCCAGGCCCTAAGTTCAAGTCGCCAGACCAGAACAACAACAACAAAAACACAATACCTAGAAGTGGAGGTCTAGCTCAAGTGGTAGAGTACCAACCTTGAGCAGAAAAACCAAGCAAGAACATGAGACCCTGAGTTCAAGCCCTAGTACCAGCACAAAAGAAAAATTGTGAACTGTCACATCTTCCTGTGTACATAGGAAAACACATCAGTCTTAAGTTCTAAAAGCATGGTGCTTCCTCACACTGCATATATGTCAGTGTGATACTGAACGGGACTTTCTATAACAAGAGATTTAAGAGACTTTAGAGGGATCAGGATTTTGCCTCTGTTAGGAATATTTGTTTGGTTTTGTTTTTGTTTTGGCTAAGTCTGAGAATCAAATGGTTGTGTAACTTCCCCTCAGCTTCATCGTTAAAGTTTTCTAGTATAGGAAGGCCATCTTTTACCTGGAGATAGGATAGAGATTCTATCTCACACCTGTGTAGCTTACTTTGTGTGTGTGTGTGTGAGAGGGAGCATGCGCAGGTGCTGTGTGAGCATGCATGCAGCAATACTCAAGCTTGAACTCATTCTCTCACATTCTTGCTTGGGATTTTTGATAAGGCTGGTGCTCTACCACTTGAACTACAGTTCCACATCTAACTTTTTGGTGGTAAATTGGAAATAAGAGTCACCCAGATCCTGAGATCCTCAGATCTCAGCCTCCTGAGAGTTTAGGATTACAGGCATGGGCCACTGATGCTTGGCAGCTTGCTTGGATTGCTTATAAAAACAAAACTTTAGGGGGGCGGGGAAGTTTGAGTGGGGGAGCGGGGCGGGGGGGGGGGGAGGATGGGAAGGGATGGGAAGGGGAAACAAAGGAGGAGGCTACAATGCTGGATAAGAAATGTACTCATTGGGCTGGGAAGGTGGCTCAGTGGTAGAGTGCTTGCCTTGCATGCCTGAGGCCTTGGGTTCGATTCCTCAGCACCACATAAGCAAAAAGAAAAAAGCCGGAAGTGGCGCTGTGGCTCAAGTGGTAGAGCGCTAGCCTTGAGCTGAAGAGCTGAGGGACAGTGCCCAGGCCCAGAGTTCAAGCCCCATGACCGGACCCAAAAAAAAAGAAATGTACTCATTATCTTGCCCATG